CAGGACAGGCTCGGTGGAGCTTGTCGGGACCTTGGTCCGTGTGAAAGGAAAGGGCATCACTGACTGAACACCTTCCGTGAAGAGTTTGTGCAACTCAAGTGCAAAATGAGCAGAAATTGTCAGCCTGTTAGCTGGCAAGTCATGCCGCCATGTAGGGTTATGGGTTGAATTGGGCGTGGCGTTTCCGCGTCCAAATCTATGACAGTCCAGGCAAAATAGCAAAAGCAGAGCCCGCCAAAGGCAGCCCCCTCCCTCCCCCCCAGTAATATTAGTCCAGAGCATATAACATCGAGTCCCTTCTGACTGCTGGGCTGGCGCCCAGACCCTTGACATTCAGGGACGAACACACCGCTGATCATAAAATTGGTGTTATTTCCCCATGTGATGGACAAGGAAACCGAGACCCGGAAGTAATATTAGCATATAACATCGAGTCCCTTCTGACTGCTGGGCTGGCGCCCAGACCCTTGACATTCAGGGACGAACACACCGCTGATCATAAAATTGGTGTTATTTCCCCATGTGATGGACAAGGAAACCGAGACCCGGAAATGATGCTTTTCCCCAAGGCCACCCACTCTGGGTCACACAGATTTGTCCAACACCCACGCCTGGGCCCGGGGCCCGGGCCCATTTATCAGCAGGGGCTGAGCTGTGGGTTCAACCCACCTCCGCTAACAGCGTGAAGGAACATCACTGGCCAAGACCAGAAGGACCGAATAGGTGGGGGAGGTTCAAAATGGGGTCGTGGAGGTGACAGCGCCAGAGCGAGCCCTCGCCCAGCAGCAGGTCGGAGGGGGTGGGCCATGGGGCTCAGCGACTGGACTGGTTCTCCCTCCCTCCACCAGGTGGGCAGCACGCCTGAAGGCCAGAGCCGTGACCTCTGCCTCTCCCCCAGCGGGGCCAGTGACCGGCCTCGGCAGCTGACATCGCAAGGACGACGTGGGAGCTTGGGCGTGCTCGGGGAGCCTTCCCGGAGACATGGAGCTTTGGGGTGGAATGCTGTGGGCCCTCCTGTCTGGCCCCGGGAGGCGGGGAGGCACTTGGGGCCGGGCCTTCAGTTCCTGGCGACCCCACCTGCCTCAGGCTGGGTGGAGTGCCACAGAGCTGGTCAGCCAGTGGACGGCGGTCTTTGAGAAGAGGGGCATCCCCGAGGCCCGGGAATCCAGTGAGTACATCGTGGCTCATGTCCTTGGAGCCAAAACAGTTAAGTGCAGTGATGTCCAATGGGGGGGCCAAGAGCACCTTGGGGAGAAGGGCGGTGGGGGGAGGAGGACCTGGGGGAAGGGACTTCCAGGCTTCTTTGCCCCACTGAGAGTGCTGATCTAAGGGTGACACTTTTTCTGGAGGAATGCCTTAGGCGGATACTTACTCTTCCATCCAACAAACTCTTATGATGTGTGCCAGGCTCGGTGGCCAGGGATGGCCAGGGTGGGGCCCATAGGCGTTGTCCACATGAGAAACCTGGGCCAGGGCCTCTGGGCCAGGGGAGCCAGCCACTCACATTCTCTGTGGGGCAGTTTCAGAGCCTGAGGCCGGGACTTCTGTCGAAACCCCTGACCCCCTGGCAGCTACAGTGCGTCCAGGAGCTGAGTAGCCGCAGACTGCAAAGGTGAGCACCCGTGGGCTGGCCCCGGGGGCTCCGTGAGGGGCGGGGCTTCCGCTCCCCCAGCCCCAAGTTCACGATCAGGGAGGAGGAGTGTCAAAGGGCTAGGGAGGTGTTTGGGATGAGGGAGTGATGAGAGGGGGTTAGAGTAATAAACAGGAAGAAGGTAGGGAGGGAAGGCCTTGGCTAGGGTCCCAAGGCCCAGGAGACGTGACCCTACTTTACACTTTTGGCCACAAGTGTGACGTATCCCTGACCCCAGGCGTGTCCTCTTGGCCCAGGTCTGCACTCTAACCCCCCGCCCCTCTGCAGGATGCCTGTGCAGTACATCCTTGGCGAGTGGGACTTTTGCGGGCTCAATCTGAAGATGGCACCCCCAGTGTTCATCCCTCGGCCGGAGACAGAGGTAGGTGCGCCCACAGGACAGCCGCCTGGTGAGGAGTGTGGGGTTCAGAACACTTGTCTTGCCCCAGACTTCCTCCAGAGGGCGCTGGGACCCCATGGCTGCTATCCTTCCAGACAAGCCACTGTGTCCTGGCTGGCTGGGTAGATGGGGCCCAGAGGACGGAAGTCTCCGGCTGGCTTCCTTGACTGTCCTTTTATCCGAAGCCATCGCCCCTGCCGCCAGGGCTTGCGGTGGCTCCGGGAACCGCAACTGGTGCTGTTTACCAAGTGCCTTGCCTGTGCCTGTCGTTCCCCTGGAAGTCATTCCTCCGGCCAGTGGCCTACCCAACCCATAGAACCTGTAGGAAACAGATGTCCTCTTTCTCGGGAGGCGGAGACGAAGCGGGGAGGGCTCTCGCTGGGGACCTGGGGGCCTGGTACAGCCATGTGACCCCAGCAGGTCACTTCCCCCTCTGGGCCCAGACGATGAGCCGGTTGAGCCTCCAGATGAGGGTCCTTTTAAATCTACCATCTGGTGAAGCGATCACCTCTGTCCCTCAAGTCGGTAGGACTGGGGAGGTGCCCCCAGCAGGGTCGCTTGGCCGGGCACCCCGATCCGGGATGTTCTGTGACTCTTCTTGGGCTTCCCTCTGTCCTCATAGGTGGCAGAGCTGGAACCAGGGAAGAGCAGGGGCTGGGGCTGGGGGGGCCGGTGGGGGAAGCCAGAGGGTGCCAAGTTCTGAGAAGGGGGTGTTTCTAGAAACACAAATATTCCTGGGAAAGACCAGGCTTTATCTGCCTGCCCAGCTGGGGACCCACCTCACTGCCCAGCGTCAGGGGGGACAGTAGAAACCTCAGACCTTGCTGAAGTCACAGGGCTGCTGAGGGCTGGCACGGTTGGGGGGGTGGGAAGAAGCGGGCAGCATGGGACAGCACTCAGACACCCTGACTCTCCAGCCAGGGCCCCGTAAATCCCGTGGGCCTGTCCCACACGGGGCTGGCTGAGCCGGGAGGGGAGCTGAGACAGAGTAGGGTGTGGCCTGCCATCTGCAGGCTTTGGGAGGCCCTGTGGCTCCCCCAAGCATGTGACCTCTAGCCAGGAGGTCACTCGGTTCCCTGAAGCTGCCAAGGGTCAGGGTCTGGGAGGGAAGCGACCGTGATGCCCTCTGAGTCCCCTTAGGCTCGACCTGGCCCCAGTCATGTCCTCCCAGGTCTGAGTGTAGACTTCCGGCTCCACTGTGGCCCCCTTTCCTGGCCTCGTCCGTGAGGGTGGTTTCTGATAACGGGGCCAGAAGTCAGATGCCAAGTGGTAGGCGTGTGGCCTGACGGGTCAGGTTTTCCCTGGGGTGGGAGGCGGCTTGGGCCGGGCCTGCAGGGTGTACGGCGAGACGCCCAGGCTGAGGGGAGCCGTTCTCGCCGGCCTGGGTGTGAGGCTCTGAGGTGCGGGAGGCTCAGGGCCTTTCTGTGATGGGCTGGAGGGAGGCAATGCACCGTCCTGGGACGCCCCACAGTGATACCCCACAGGGACACCCCACAGGGACACCCCACAGGGACGCCCCATAGGGATGCCCCACAGGGACACCCCACAGGGACGCCCCACAGGGACACCCCACAGGGACACCCCACAGGGGCGAGATCTTGGCAGGGGTGCTCGTTGCACCAGGTCCTGCTGAGGCCCGGGTGGGGCCCTGAGGAGGCAGTGGCTCCAGGCAGAGCCGACCGCTGCCTGCTCCCCGTCTCCCTGCTGCGTGCCCCTCCTCCCGCACCCCACTCTGTCCT